TTGAAAATAGGAACCCGGGCTGTGACAAATTAAAAGCCGGGACTATTCGAGATTTTTCAAATTTCTGATTTAAAATTTTCAGACTCTTTTTTTTAAGCTAATGTGTTTTCGCTGTAAAAATTGTATTTAAATACTTGGTATTTTAGATTTTCTTGACGATTTTTGGTTTCAAGTAAAATTGGTAGGCAGTTTCAATTTTCTGATTTAATATTTTATCTATTGTGCTATAAGTACTTAGTATTTTAGATTTTTTTTTTTTTTTTGGCGATTGTTGATTTCCATGTTGGTAAAATGGGTAGACTGGGTTGGTGATATTTTATGTGTGTGTGTTTTTTTTGACATATTTGATAAAAATCTAATAAACTTAAAAATTATTCCGATGTTAAACACTGTATTTTAACTAAAAAAAACTATTTCTTTTTGATAGTTATTTCTTTATTTGAAAATGCTATTTTTATGCAAAATACACATTTTCATTAAACAAAGGATTATTAAACCAGATCCGATCATCCGGGAAGAACCTGGTGCAAAACACCATAAATCATTTCTAATTTCATAATATGCAAATGTGCACTGGTACATGTATCTATATGTTAGTAGATGGAAGGAAACTGGATTACGTTAAATATGTAATTTGTTTAATACTTTTTTCGGGGGGGGGGGGGTGTTAAATTACTAATATCAACTATTCATAAGACTGTTTCTAAGACTTCAGAAAACCTTAAATCACATTGAAATGCTTAAAATAAAAATTGCTACATGAAAATATTTCATTTTCAAGTTTCATCTTTGCCGTCGCCAACGTGGCACGGTGATTAAAGTGTCTGCTATAAGAGACGCGGAATAAGGAGTCAATCCTTACGTCACGGGTTCGAATCCGACAGTGGGACGTTGAGACCGGTCCTTCGTAAGAGACCGCATAAAGCCATAAACCGAGGTCCCGTGCCACAGTAGGTGTTGGCACGAAAAAAATCCCTCACTGTTCAATGGCTGTAAGTAGAGGACAAAATTTGCAGCTCTCCACTGGCAAATTGTGGCGTCGTCATATGAGTGAAAAATTCTCGAGAGGGACGTTAAACAGCAAACAAACAACCAAATTAAAATCATTTTAGCCTTTTTGAATAAAATGATAAAATTAAGAGTTATCCTTCAAGGCTGAGGATCGGATATCCTTAAACCAAGCAACTTACGCGTGATTAAAGTTTGACACAAGGCTTTGCATTAATAGTCCTATAATTACATGTATATGTGATAATTCTTTAATTAATTTATATTTTATCAAATGACATGAAGATAATGAACAAGTATTTCGGATTTTTTATGTTTGACTTCCGGGAGATCAAATCCGATTTTAATGAACCATTGGCGTCGGAAGGAAATTGATAGTGGGGTGGCTAATTGAAATAGAAAAAAAAAATCAAACCTGAAAAAAACTTGACAAGCAAAAAAAAAAAGAAAATTGTTCTTTCTCCAAACCCGAAAATCCTATTTCGGGGGGTGGGGGTGGGGGTGGGGGGGGGGGGTTGGTCGAACATCTTTCAGTACCAAATTCTTTTAAACACTACCAATTACCCTTCTTTCACTACAATGAATCGTGCCTGTAGAAAGTGGGGAGGGGGGAGGCTAGACCTACGCCCGAATTTTCAATGCCTATATTATGTCTACCTTTGTAAAAAAAAAAAAAAAGGAGGGGCAATACCCCCCCCCCCAGGGTTCCGACGCCTATGTGAACCGGTTTTTCTTAAACGTGTCATTTCACTCAAAAAATGCCTTTCAAAGAATGAATAATTTTTAACATCAGAATAATTTAAAAGTTTATTAGCTTTCTGTCAAATATGGCAAAAACAAACAAACAAACAAACAAACAAACAAACAAAACACGTAAAATGTCTACTTGATTGCCTACCCGATTTACCAACCTCACGGGCGGATTCAGAGAGAGCCTATGGGGCTCCCCCCCCCCCCCCTTGTGTCCAAAATATACATAAGATTTAATAAATCAATTGTTTTTTGGTTTGGCTGTGGGCTACCTACCCCGACCAAAAACTTGCCGGGCCCCCCTTTTCAAGATTCCTGGATCCACCGCTGAACTTGAAAATCAACAATCGCCAAGAAAATCTAAATTACTAAGTATTTTAAAATTAAATGCAATTTTTACAGCGAATACACATTAACCTATAAAAATGAGTCTTAAAATTTCAGCACAGTTGATAAAATCAGGAAGCTGTATAGTAGAGTCAGAAATTAGAAAAATCTCGAATAGCCCCGGCTTTTAATCTCCCACGGCCCGGGTTTCCTATTTTCAAACACTCTTTAAACTGGAACTCCGCGCATTTTTTTAAATAAAAGGACCAGTTTAGATGATGATAAAGAAGTTACCACTGCATAACATGAAACGACTAATGCATGTAAAGATTTGACCACATCATATAACAAATTAACAACATCATATAATTAATTAACCACCTCATATAAAGATGTTACCACTGCAAAGTATGATTTTAGGAATATATATAATAATTCTACTATATAATAAAATGTTAGTACTGCACATAATAGATTTTTCACTTCATGTAAAGGTGTCGCACTGAATGAAATTAACTTGGCACTCCACATGCAGCGGGTTTCATACAATGTAATGATTGCTTTATCACACAAATTATGTTTGTACTGTATATATTGAATTCATCACACCACAGAAAGATATCAGCAATGTATAAAATGGAAAAACCACTGCATATAATGATTTTACAACATAATGTATCGATATTATCACTTCATTACATTATTTAACCACTACATATAATGACATTGCCACTGAATATAATGATAAAACCACTGCATACAATAAAGTTATCAATGAAAATAATGATTTTTTCACTGTATATAATGATAAAACCATTGCATATAATAAAGTTTTCATTGAATATAATGATTTTACCACTATATATAATGACTTCACCACTTCACATAAAGGTTATACCACCTCATATAATATGAAAATGACCTTCAGGCAGCTATGGCGTTCCATATATATATATATATATATATATATATATATATATATATATATATATATATATATATATATATATATATATATATATATATATATATATATATATATATATATATAAGCATTTAAAAAAGTGGGTATTATTTGAAATCTTTCAAAATTGAAATCCGAAACCATTTTTGTTGAAATTCCATTAGATGCATAGTGGATATTTTTATTGACAACTAGATACCAATACTGTTCAGAATTCATTTGTATGGTTATTTCTCTTGTTCATTTTAAGCAAGGTTCTAATGGTGTGAAAATTGCGAAGTAATTATTTCCGTGCCTATTGGAAATACATTTTTATAAAATAAATTCTAAAATTGTGAAAAATTCGGAGGCATTATTATCTTTTATGTGCATTGGAAATACAGTTTTAAACTATTTTTTTTTCTTTTTTTAATACCCCCTTTGAAGAAGGGAAGGCATATTGTTTTGATGCTGTCTGTCGTTCGGTAGGTCGGTCGGTCCGTCTGTCGTTTCACCAACAGTTTCCATTCATTTTCTTCGCAAATTTGCACATACTGAAATGGAAATTGGGTATACAGATTTATCATAAATATCTATGCCAAGTTCTGTTTTGGGTATGATCGACCAATTTTTGACATAGTTATCCCCCTTAGACTTAGAAAAATTCCAATTATTTGCAGTTAAACTTATAGGAATTCTTCTTTACATAGTGTAGATTTAAGTTTGTTCAAATGATGAGCCTGGGGTTAGGGTGAGGCCACAGTTGGGGATCGAAGTCTTACATAGGAATAAATAGGAAAAAATCTTGAAAAATCTTCTTCTCAAGAAAGCCATGATTAATCATATTAAGGAAGCATCCTCGGGTGGTTTAGATTCAATTTGTTAAAATGATGACACTGGGGGTAGGGTAGGGCTACAATGGGGAATCAAAATTTTACATAGAAATATATAAGAAAAAAAACTTTAAAAATCTTCTTCTCAAGAACATCAAAGCTATGATTAGTCAGATTGATACGGAAGCATCCTCAAATAGTGTAGATTCAAGTTTTGTTCAAATGATGACCTCCGGGTAGGGTGTGACACAATGGAGGATCAAAGTTTCACATAGAAATTTATAAGAAAAACTTTAAAAATCTTCCTCTCAAGAACAGCAAAGCATTGATCAGTCGTATCAATATGGAAGCATCCTCATGCAGGTAGTATAGATTTAAATTTGTTTAAATCATGACCCCCGGGGGATAGATGGGACCACAATAGGGATGAAATATTTTACAAAGGAATAAATGGAGAAAATCTTGAAAAATCTTCTTCTCAAGAACAGCAAAGCCATGTTAAGTTTTATATAATTATCAAGTTTGTTTAAATCATAACCCCAAGGGGAAGGGAGGGACTACAGTGGAAGATCAAATTGTTACAAAGGAATATAGAGAAAAAAAAATCTGTTTAAAAATCTTTAAGAATTTTCTGCTCAAGAACACCAAAGCCGTTACTGATATTGATATGGAAGCATCCCCAAAGTGTTAAATTCAAGTTTGCCCCCCCCCTCCCCATGTAAACTTTTCAATGCTGAATTGATTTGTGCTTTTTTGCTAGTCAATGTGCTAAGATGAACGATGTGGCCCATGGGTCTCTTGTTTAATGAAGTGGTACTAACTATATATATATTGAAAGGAAAAAGAAACGCAGGGTAAACAAAGCTTCAGCTCATGTGAGCTAAAAATCTAAGCACAGGTTACACAGAGTTTAGCTCCTAAGGAAACTGAACTTTTATGAAATTAAAGTAACCGCCAAAATTGATTAAAAGTACTGCCAACTTGGCGTAAAACAACATGCATACAATCAATCAATCGTGAAAGTGATCAGCAACATTACCTAAAAAATAGAGCTTTTCAGTGAGACAGATCAAGTTCACCAGTACAGTGTTTCTTTTTTCCTTATCATTCATAACTATAGAAATTATGAGGAAAGTGTATACAAATGTAAGTGTATTTATTGCATAATCCCTACGATTGAACTCATTTCTAAAGAACAAAGGGAATCAGTGCCTTCCTGTCCTTTGGATAATCTTCAAATTTCTCCCGATAAAATCTACAAAATGAATAAAATTGAATAAATCAAGCATTGGTGTGAGTAAGACGCATTGGGCTATTTGTATTTTTCCCCTTATACGTACATGCACAAGTATATTACATTGAACAGAATGTCCGCTAAGCAAAACTAATAAAATATACACCATCTCTTCTTATGAAGTATTGTAAATGTAACAAGTAGTATTAAAGTAATCTCCAATATCTCAAGAAATGATATCCAAATTTTGGAAAATTTTTCCTGGCTATAGTTTGAACATAGGGACTTAGAACATGCAGAACTTATACTAACACAATTTAAAATTCTAAATCTTTGTAGAAGACAATATATAATATCAAGAAATTGATAGACGAAAAAATTTCATACATGTATATCAATTTATTATTCATCTGTTATTTTATTCATTGATTTTTACTTTATTTATCTGTTTTATCTATTTATTTTCATTTTTTGTGAGGAATGGTTGATGTATAATGTTATATGAGAGCGCAATGTCATGAAAAAAATAATAATTCAAACTTCTATATTCCTTTTGAAATGAAGTATATCTATACTAAGTAAATATGCATTACCTGTGATGATGGAAAGCCCTAGGGCCGATATTACACAGGGTGAATACAGCAAAGGCCAAAGAGGGGAGATTGTTACACGCCACAGAGAAGCCGATCCACTCTACGATTTCTCCCAGGAAGTTAGCACCAGAGACGTACTCGAATAGAAATCCTAGAGATAAAAATAAAAGTTAGCACCAAAGACGTACTCGAATAGAAATCCTAGTGATAAAAATAAAATGACGTTACTACCCCTAATGATAACAATTCAAAGAAGTTCATTTGAAAATAAACCATACACAATCGTCTTTGCATCCCCCCCCCCCGATTTCTGAATACTACATATATATGTATATGCACCACAGGAACAATATGTCTGATTACCTCTTGGAGTTTGATATGTGCCCTCTTTCTCTTTCCTTAGTGACGTCAGCAAATTGTCAGACCGGATGTTAATGTACATCCCCGTAAAAAATAACATTATACCTTCAAAAAACAAAAATTAAAAGTGTTTCTGTGTTTGTTTTATGCGTATGAAAACTTGAGAAATTGAAAACTAGTTCGTTCCCATTTTAATTGTCATTTGCATATAGCCAAAACAAACATAAAAGTGCGGGTAATTCAATCCTTTTTTTTTTTTACATACCAAGACAGAATCTTGCCTTCTGGAACCAGTAGTGGATCTCAGTATTCGGTAGGAGTATTCCATACGTCTGTAAAGCGCCGTTCACTGAACAGAAGAAAACGGCGGCCATGAAAGGAAACAAAGGAATAGGTTTACCTCCCCTTATCCTCAGCGGAAAAATGAAAGTCCTGAAATCAGTCGACTTGAAATCTTTTAAAAGACAAATGATGTATCTACTACACACAAGTGATTGAATGTTTTGCATCAAAAGTCATTATGTAAGGAGGTTCAAAATAAAACAAAAAACTCTATTTAATTTAATTTTGAACTTGGTACAAGATTATAAACAGCAAAAAAGGCGACCGAAGGCAGAAATTTAAAAAAAAATACTAAATCTCACCTGTGAAAGTAGTGTACTAGAAAGCATCCAATCAAAATCTTGTTGTTTCCATGGATATTCACTGATTCATCAGAGCGCCACCTTGAGAGTACTACAAGCGGTACAACAAAGGATGGTAACTCCTGTAAGAACCAGGCAAGCTTGGCAGGCAGGAGGCATCCCCACCCAGGGCGAGTGTATCTTCCGTAAGGGGCCGTGGTGAACTGAAGCGTGACTAAATTAGAAATCCCCCACAAAACCATCAAACCAGAGACAAATTTCAGCGAATCGGGGGCTGAAAACACGCTGCCGACCTGTTCTAATATTAAGTTCATTTTACTTCGTTAAAACTTTTTTCTTCCAAAAAATAGAGAAAATTATTGAGAGACTTATTTTTGCAATTAAGTATTGCGTTAAACTAAGGATTACTGCATATGATTTAAGCTGGTGTGCGAGTCGCATTTTATTAACATTTTGAAAATGCCTGACGTCACCTTGCCTCCCGCTGTCCGATTGTTTGTTCAGAGATAAGGAACCGTCTCATTCGGCGAGTGATTCAGGGTGCTATTTCATAACCACAACGATAAATAAAAACTCTATAGAAATGTGTTGTGTTTGTTTTGGTTCTTAATTTCTATTTATGAAACCAGACAATGAGTCTTAGATTACCCCCAGTGAGATATATACAGGATGTAAGTGTTTTTATAAAAAAAAAAAAGAAAAAGAAAACTGCGGAGTGATGAAATAATGGTAATTAGGTACTCTCTCTCTCTCTTTCTCTATCTCTCTTTGCATGTATTTAGATGCCAAAGAATTCCATTATATGGATATTTTGCAAAATTCATTGTTTCTTCATTTCCATGCAGGTCTGTGTGCGTCAAGTGCTACAGTCATAAAGCAAAAAGATATGGACGTGGAACAATAAATCAATATAATAGTGGGAAATCTGAGATCAAAGTCAACATTGTTAATAAGAGAGAGAGAGAGAGAGAGAGAGAGAGAGAGAGAGAGAGAGAGAGATCCACGTTGATTTACATGCAAGCATTGAAAACTCATACCAACATTTGAATTCCTCGCAGACTGGGGTATACCCCCTCCCCTTTCCTATTTTTCCCCTTTTGAATCTGGGATTGGCACTCACTTTTCCTATTTGTGTATTCTAAGATGCATTACATGTTATCGATAATGTGACATTTTTGGCTTTAGATCTATGAACTGTTTTTAAATATCTCAGTCTCGACTGATGCAGAAAAAAAGAGAAGGCTTCGATCTCTCTTTTTATTTAAGTAGTAGTAGTACACGTATATATCGAAACGAGATGAAAACAGCTCAGATTAAATGGTTAAATTATAACACTTAATACATATTAAAATACACGAATAAGAGGAAAATTGATTAGACTGATGATTCAATTTGAAAAGAAAAAATGGAAAAGGTGGGTTGGGGCATACCCCAAACTTAGCGCCCCTTTTCCTTTATATCAGATACAATAAACTTCTGGAAGGTGTTACTTTTTTTTCTCTTTGTTGAAAAGTATTTATTGTAAAGTCCGTCTTCTATTTTAATCCTTTTTTTTTTCATAGAGTACTCCACCATGCACTCTTTTTGTCTCAAAGATAAATACATTTGCATTGTGGTATGTTTTACATTTTGAAAAATATTGTTTTATAAATTAAAATGCTAATATGACGCATTTTTTAACAATGATAATTCAAAAATTTAAAAACTATGCATGGGACGATTCAGAAATTTATTACTTTTTTTGGTGGTCCATATGCACTTAAAAAAAGTCCGTTCAAGGAATGTTCTGACAGTTTAAAACGAAAAAAAAATCTTGAAAATCCTATTTCATGTGTGTGTGTGTGTGTGGGGGGGGGGCTTGGACCTTTCTCTAAATTTTAATACATTTCTATTTCAAATGCTGGAATTTGCCATCTAGTGTTCGAACGTACACCAACAAGGGGGGGGGGGGTGCATGCAGCTTCCAAATGAAAATTTATATACATGTAGTTGTACATGTAGTAAAAGTACATCAAAAAACTATTCTCAGGAAAAAGTGCTGACTTTACCTTAATTGTTTAAAAAGACTTAAAGTTTCTTTAAAAAAAAAAACGCTATATAGTTGGATATGATATAATTGTTAGGCCTATATCAAAAGAAGGAGTCGCATATCCGGATAATAACCCACATCGTTCAACTATTACAATTGTTAAGTGCGACACCTACCGGAAGAAGTATTAATGGCCGCTAAAACTTCGTCTACAACTTAGAAAACAGAAACAAGTCGTCAGAAATGGCAGACGACGAAAGAATACAGAAATTGAAAGCCGGTAAACAAAAGGTGCATATCAATTTCTGTTTAACATTCAAGTTTTTAAGCATGTTTCTTTCACGAAACACAAGAATTCCCCATTGTTTACTTGTTATCTGACTGGTCCAGCGTGGCGCTCTTTGCTACATCCTGCAGTGGTGTGTGATGAAATCACGGGAACTTTTTTCATCAGGACGACAGTGTTTGATTAAGCCTTGCTAATCTAAATGCTTTAATTTTTTTGTTTAAACGAATAGATAAGAGAAACGAACTTTCATTTTGACACAATAAAGCCAAGAATCGTTCTATATGTTACTAGACCCTCTAGTCCGTAACATTCTGGTCTGTGGAAACTTAGTATACATGCAGTAAGCAGAGAAACAGAATGACAGTGCTGTTGTGGAGAAATAAAAAATTCTACTATTCCTGTCCCACTATACATGTAGCTATAGTTCTGTAGCTCAATTTGGATGGATGACCAGAGAGCTACAGTTAAAAGTGTATTAAAGTGTATTATATAGACGAATTTCACATTCTTAAGAGGTATCTCCCATTGTCGGCGTAACAGTCATTTTTGTCACTATATCGTTTGTAACTTATCTGTAAATATTTTCAACTTTCAAACGGAATCGGACAAGAAAAATTTATTTTGACCTGTTCCTGAATTGCCTTGGTATGGGGCAATATGAAAAACATAATGAACATATTCAAACGGATTTAATTTGCGAGATATTACCCCCAAACGTTGGTAATGTTATAGAGGGAAAACAGTCTTATGCCGGTTGACCCCACATTAACCCCGCAAAGGGAAATAACTTTCATAAATGTGAAATTCGTCTATTATGCACAAAAAAAAAAAAAAAAAATCCACAGCTGAAGTACGTCATAAAAAAAAGAGGATTGAATTATGCCCTATGACTAGGGATGTGCAATTTTATTGTTATGTACATGTAACTGTAATGTATATGTTTTATTGTGTGATAGGTATTGTGATACAGAGACTAAAATACTGGTATTTGGTCATGTTGGTACGTGATTATAAAATTAGTAAATAATTCATTAATTTTTGTTCAAACTTTTGAAATATAAAAATGCTGTAAAACAGTCAACCAATGGCATCCTAGCATCCAAATATGCTTTATTCTTAATTTATTCTTAGTTCTACAAATGAAAAAAAGTGAAGATATTTTTTAAAGCTTGTTTGAAAAAAAAATTATGGTAATTCATTTAAAGTCAAAGTAAAAATATGATATTATCGTGATATTTTTTTGGGAAATTCTGAAATATCTCGATACAAAATTTTTACAGGACATAAGGTCTGGTAAAAATATATGTTTTACCAGACCAAGCATTTACTTACCAGACTGACCTTTTTCTTTAAACTCATACATCATTATCATGATACAGAGATTGAAAGGGGAGGTATTCTCACTGTTTAATTGAACCTTAAATAGATCCAGAGTTGACATTATAAAAAAATGATTTTATTGAAATGAACAAACTTACTATTAATAATTTTCCTTTTTAAAAGGTTGTATACAATTGCATACAATTTTCTCTTTTTCTTACAAATGAAATATACAGTGTCAAAGACTTTTTTAAACTTAAAATGCACTTTAAAATATATTTATTTATTTCCTGAAGTAACTCATTACAGTTACTCTTGTTCAATAATGAAAATAATTTCCCCCAACCGAATCTACATATGAGCTACAGTACCGACCAGACACAACCTAACAGAAAGCGAACCCAGAGCGCACCCCGGGTTCGCTTTCTGGGTTCGCTTCGGGTTCGCTTGGGGTTCGCTATAGCGGACCCCGAGCGAACCCGCAGCGGACCCAGAGCGAACCCAGAAAGCGAACCCCAAATTCAGTAGCGAACCCAGAAAGCGAACGCGCGTTCGGTGTTGTGTAACGGAGCTGTCAATCAGGATTAGCGATAAAACGTGTTAACCAATCAGCGCCTCGACCAATCCGGTTTGTTATTCGATGTAAATAAAACATTGTACAAGCAAAGTATATTAATGTAAAGTGTGAAACTGTTATTAACATGATTAAAAAAATTATTTATATCTTAATTATCCAGATAGCATGTTATTTTTACACATTTATTTTCTGTATTTTTTATTTTTAAAATCCATTAACATTTCGTAAAAAGGTACTTTCGTGTATAAAAGAAAAAAAGGAAATAATGGTTATTACAATTGTTACTAAAAAATGAAAAAAATAAAAGGTTTTTGACAAATCAATGCATTTCATCATTTCAAGTTACTGTACAAGATTATGTATAATTATGTACATGTACGTGCTTTTTATTCAATTACTTTATAATTCTAATTTCCATCTCGTCTAAATCCAGATCAACATTAAAATTATTGATCTTCTTAATTGAAAATGAAAAAAAAATTAAAAGTACATGTATGTCCGATCGTAAACAACTATGGTATTATTTTGAATTATCTTCTACAAGAAAAATAATGTAAAGCTTTAATAAGCTTGTTTGTTTGTTTTTTTTACCTGAAATAAAAGAGGAAAAAATGAAGCGCGATTTACATAATTGAACGAACTAATTATCGATAGTAAATAAGCAATATAGTAAGTCGTACAGTATTGTATTCTCTAAAAATAGCGTAACTTTTATAATAAAGCCTATTTAAGATATTTTATGATTTTTTTTCTCTGATGTTTATTATATTTACTGCTAATTGTGGTCTTGATTGTTTTATATCAATAAATCAAAAATGTACATGAAAAAAAATTCCGAATACTTACATTTAAATATTTAGTCGGCAAACGTACACGACGTGATCGTCGGGGTTACTTTTAATCCCTGATGCTAATTATTATTTTTTTTAATATAATTTCGGCAAATGAAGGAATAAAAAATGGCTGATTTTTGAAATTCTTAAATGGAAAGATGGATAAAGTTTTGAATCATTTTAGGCCATTTTTAATTAAAAATCTTATACCCGCTTACTGCATATAATAAAATCCAATTAAATCAAAACTCACGGCCCATCTATATCATGTGATAGAACAAGCAGTATTCAATCATAAATTACATCTTTAAGTATCAAAAAGATTAATTAAAAAAAAAAAACAATTTTCCAAAGTCGGAGAATTACATAAATAATTATTTGTAATCTAAAATAACTACATGTATTAAGGCTTATTTACATGTACATGTAGTTTCAAAAATATCCATTTCTAAATATTTTTTTTTTCAGTTTTCCAAAGTCGATGAATTTCACCAATAATTATTTTTAATCTAAAATATCTATTAATTAAGCCTAATTTCGTTCTAAAAAATATCCACTCCTATATACTTTTAACTATTTTGCGTAAAAAATCGCGCGTTTGTGTTAACAATCATGAATGGTTGTGTAACGTGAAGAATCGTGTACGTGAAGGATCATTCGTGTAACAGGTTTAATCGTGCGGAATCGTTCGTGTATATGTTTTCAACAATAACGTTGCAACCACTGTACATGCTTATGTATCGATCGCCACAAAAACAATAATGATCGATTTCACTACTGTATTTGGAATATACAAGGGGCGGGGCTTACTCGCGGCAAGATAAAAGCGGGGTCCGCTTCACGCTTGAGTGCGTAAAGCGAACCCAGAAAGCGAACGCCGGGTTCGCTCTAGCGGACCCAGAGCTGACCCCGAGCGAACGCAGAGCGAACCCGAAGCGAACCCAGAGCGCACCCAAAATTTCTGAAAGCGGACCCGTAGCGGACCCCGAGCGAACCCAGAAAGCGAACCCGGGGTGCGCTTTGGGTTCGCTCTGGTGTTAGGTTGTGTCTGGTTGGTACTGTATCTAGAGATCTATATTCCATGACAGGAAATTCGAATTAAAAATAAATGGTCATGATAAGGTAGTTATAGACTAAAATTAATCATGTATCACTGCTAAATGGATCGAATAAAGGATATGTGTGGACAATAAGACAATATATACATGTAAATTAAGATTTTTAGGCCTTATTTTTTCATCAGACAATCGGTCCGGAATCCTGATTTTTTTTTTACCGACCCGAACCAAATTTTACTGGGAAAAACCGATGGTCCAGTGACTTTTGCATAGACTGACATCTAAAACTAAGATTGGGACTTAAAGCAGACAGTTTAGAGTAAAAAAAGTTTTCTTATAAAGAATGATAAATTCAACACATTTTCATCCTTTCCCAGTAAGTTCTATACTCTAAACTATTGATGACAGAATGAAAAGGAATTCGAACTTGTAAGATCTCTTTGAAATCATTCCTCTTCTGTGTGTAACACTCGCATTGTTTTGTTGTTTATTTTGTTCAAATCTGTATAGTGTTGAGCATTGGCTTTTGTCTCCATATTTAGTTGGCAGAGTTCCAGAAAAAAAGAAAGAAGAAGAAAACTGTGTCACCACGAGATGACAAGGAAGATGTTGCCATGGGAACCGGCCAGAGTGAGGCTTCACTGTCCAGTTCAGGAGATGTGTCCTTGTCAGATGTAAGTGACCTCTGTCTTTGGACAGGGTCAGTGTACAAGGATTCATTTGGCCCTCTGTCTTTGGACAGGGTCAGTGTACAATGATTCATTTGGCCCTATGTCTTTGGCCAGGGTTAGTGTACAGTGATTCATTTGGCTTGTGTCTTTGGACAGGGTCAGTGTACAATGATTTATTTGGTTCATTACTCTGCATATTTGACATTTCATAAGTGACCTTTTTTGTCCAGTTTTAAAATAACCCTTTTAACAATATCTTTCATGAATAAGTTACCAATTTTTTTTCCTTGATTGTTTTTTTTAAAAAATTTTTAAAGATTTTTTTTCTCTTAATGTTTTATTCTATTTATAGAGTGACCAAGGGAATACAGAGGGCAGATCTGATGTAAGTGTCTGGTTTTTAAAATATGTAAGATACCTAATTGGTAGTCGAGATCATGTCTTGTACACTTTATACACCAACATGGCCATTTGTTCAGTTTAAAATAAAAAGAAAAGAACCATCAAAGAGAAGATGATTTAATTCGGTGATTGGGAGTGTCAAAAGAAGAAAAGTTTTAATTTGTAAAATATTTTCAATGTTTTGGAATATTTAACAGTGTTTAAGCCAAATCTTAAAAAAAAAAAAAGTATTATTTCTTTGAAACTGGGTAAGGGTTTTTGTTATTTTCTGATATCATTGACCAGGAATATGACTGCATTTGTATACTGAATCAACAAATATATATATATATATTTTCCTCCTCTTTTATTCTTAAATAATTTTTTACAAAACAACATTTAAAAAAAAAATTCGTTCTGTAATACATTTAATTGAATGAGTTATGTATAGAAGTGATAAAATTTTGTAGGACACACGGACACTACTGAAGACCCAGACATCTCTGTACGCAGCGTACGACAGAATCGAGGAGCTGGAGGAGAGTCTGACAGGAAAACAGCTGGCGCTGGATAAAGTCATCTCAGAGAACGACCAACTACAGAAAAAGATCCAGGAGTCAAAGGTAACACCCCCCCCCCCCCCCCCTTCAACGACCTCTCAACATGTCCCCAGCACATCAAAAACACTAACACAGTAGTTACAGAAAAAGATTCAGAGGTCAAAGGTAACAACAACAACAACCCCCCCCCCCCCCTCAACGGCCTCTCAACATGTCCCCAGCACATCAAAAACACTGACACAGTAACACAGTTATGTGAAAGAATGACAAGGTACTTAAGGAATGAATTTAATAGCTACCCAAGTTATATGGTATAACCTGGGTTGGAACAGTTTATGCTTTTTTATAAACTGCTTCGCGGTGTATAAAGCGTAAACTGCCCCAACCCAGGTTATACCATATAACTTGGGTAGCTATTAAATTCATTCCTTATAATTTAATTTTCTATCATTAAGTGTAGGAAAAAAGGCAATTTCACCTCAAATATGACATTAAATTGTACAAAATTTAAATGTAACATCAAGCGGATTGATACGTTTTTGATGCAAGTCATTGTGACGTAGGCAACCCAGGCTATACAGTATAAACTAATTTTTCAGCCAATCAAAAAGTGTGTTACAACCAGAATTAAATTATAGAAAAATATTCAGGAGTTGAAGATAAACAACCCCACCAAACACCAAACACCACCACAGTGGCTATCCCTCAACAACTTCCCTGCACACTAACAAACAATCACACTAATACACAGTACTACAAATGTTGATATTAAAAATGGCAGCTAGATAAAGATACTGGAGTCATTATACAGGCCTATTTACTTGATCTCTCCTATATTGCCTACCCCACTTACTAGAAAGACACTAAACATGGAACTGAAGTTGTGGCAATAGAGAAATATAATGTTATGATATCCAGTCTTTATTCCCAAATGTAGGTGTAATTAATTGCTATTAAATTTATGTTTATAAAGCTAAAATGAAACTACAATTGAACTTCGAACACAGATTTTTCAAATACCATGGATATGTCAAAGTGATTTGGAAGTCCTAAGTATTTTACCCTTGAAATCTTGAATCCTCGGATATCTCAAAAATTTTTCTTGGTCTCATCAAGTTCGAGTTTTAGAGGTTTGATGGTATTGCATACTGTAATGAAGTACTCTAAGACATACACAATCACAGATGTCATATGCAATGGAGTATAACTAATCCTAGTGGGTGAAATTCATGAGATATTCAAGCTACATTGTATATACAATAGGTAATAATGGTTTCTAAATAAAGAACAAGATTCCTAGATGTGAAATCCTTTACCAAGTGTGTATCAGACTTAAGGAGAATTAAGAATGCCACAGTACAGTGGACCTTCAGATATTCAGACGCCAGGTATCCGGACGCTTCAGTTTCCGGACGATTTTTAATGGGTACGAAAATTTTCAACATTATTTTGTCTCGTTTAACCGGAATTCCGCGTTCCGTATCCGGACGGTCATTTTTCACCACAAAATGAATTTTTACGTTATATTTTGGTTCATTTATCCGGACGATTATTTTTCAACTGGTCTGTCAAGTCTGCTCAGATTACTTGATCTGGGTGTTAGTAATTGTTGTAAAAACACTGGTCTGGCTGTTTGTTTTAAAAGATGACCACCTGCGACCTGTTATCAGTGGCTTGCGGCAAGGTTAATTGTAGTTCGATAGGTACGCACGAGACTCTCGCTTCACTAACATGGTTTTGATACGTATTAATTAAGGAAAATAATGTTTAAGTCTAGGATAATTTTTCGTAGTCGGCAAATATATTTCTTTTACTGTTAGAATACAGTCGTAACATGGGTTAATGTATTTATAGACATGACATCGGAGTTTTTATATGCACAGTATTTTGTGCGCAAAACGCATTCTATGATTTGATGACATTTATAAAATCACTTTCAGAATTACACAATCGTTAATACGATCTTGCATTGGATGATTACGATTAGCGTTCGTATACATATGCAGATTATGTCACATTTAGCATTGATAGGCGTTCATATTAAATAAGACTCTACCGACAGTACCGTACCGACATGGCTACTAGGAGAAGTTGATTCATTAGACACTGGCAAGTAGAAATAATTAATGTGACCATATAAATACGTTTTTTTTCCAATGACAGATGTACTTTTTTATTTATTTAAACAAGTATTGAATGGTACTAACTTATATAAAAGTATTTAAACAATAAAACGTATTGATATAAAGCAACATTCTTTACGATTGAAAATGGTATGAAAGGCCATCTAACTAAAATCAGCGCAATTCAGGTATCCGGACGCTTCACATATCCGGACAAATTGACTGGGAACCAAAGCGTCCGGATAAATGAGGTTCCACTGTATTTACTATAGACTGTGAAATCAACAGTTGAAAAAAGAAATAGGTACAAGAAAATATGTTTTTTGGAATTGAATATTTATATTTCAAAACTTTATATCCAGACATCTTTTAAAAATTTTCAAAACACCTGAATTTTCTCGCTAACAAGGGCACATTCACTGACAATTCTTCAAACACACAGTTTTTAACTAGGTCACGTCCCAAAATAAGTTGGCTGCATCTTTTAATCAGATTCTTGTGTAAATGAGAACCCTGTTCATAAAAAACTCGATCATTATTACGAATCCATTGATCATTAGCCTTTCTAAGCGTATGTTTGTGCCACATCACACAAACACTGATGTTTACATAAATGACATGGCATCATATCAAATAATAAGTGATAAAAAAGGTTGTATATTTCTCAGAGTAAAGTTGGTTGTCTTGCATCATCATCTTGTTTGTTTACAAACCCAAAATTCCAAATTATAGGCATAAATGTACTATCTCAGTCTTCTTAACAAGCTACAGTCACACCTCGTTATCTCGAACTCAAAGGGACGGAGAAAATACTTCGAGATAACCGAAGATTCGAGATATCCAGGGTAAAATTCTTAAGGAATAAGCAGTTTGGACTTCAAAATCACTTCGACATATCCATTGTATTCGTGTTTGAGATACTGAAGTTCAACTGTATATAATAGGTTTAAATATTCTAATTCAATGTTTTCGTCATGCATTCTTTTTCTTTGCTTTGTTTCAGTTGACCGAACTTGAGGCGGCCGTTAGGAAGAGGGAGGAGCTAATTGTCCAGCTGTCATCTGCTCTACAGACCGTGACCAATCAAACGCCAAGTGACACCATAGCAACAGAAATGGCTCAGGAAGTTCAGCTTCTCAAGAATCAACTCCAAAATGTACGTCAATGAAATTAGATGAATTTTTTTTCTTGATAAATAATACAATTGATTGGGAAGAATTATTTCTTAGATTACTTATAAGAGTTATTGTATAACTATGCAAAAGGATTACATAAAGATCTTTGTGAATCAAAACATATACAACTAAGCAGAGAGATTTTTTTAAAATTAGAAACATGAATGTTACACTGCATATGAAAATACAATTCCTGATATTGTCAGAGATTGGTATTAAAAAGTCATCAGGGCAGGAAAAACAGCTAAAAAAGTCAAGATTAAATTCAATTTGTTCATATAATTGAATTTATAAAAATTGATGTGTATTTCATTTTTTTCCAGGCCAGTAAACTTCTCGAGGCCCAGTCAGAAAAATACAACTCCACAACTCAGACACTGCTAGAGGCAAAGGCAGAAATAGCAGTCCTTCAGAAAAACCTCAGGGAGAGGGACAAAGGTCACCAGATCATAGGGTCACCAGGAACCAATCAGGATGCTCTCCAACAAGGTCATGACCCAAGATCCTCAGCAGCAGCGAATCAAGAGGAGCTATCAAAACTACAGCAGGAACTCCAAGAAGCCAAAACACAGATTGTCACATTACAGGAACAGATTAGGGAAACAGGAACAGGAAGTGAGGAAATGAATACACAGAATCAGGGTCAGCTGGAGGCTTTACAGGAAGTTGTTAGAAGTAAGGACAATCAGATTGCCGAGTTACAGTCCACTGTGTCCCAAAGTGAAAGTGAGTGTGAAAAACTTAAAAACCATGTTAGAAATCTGGAGTCCAGTCTATCAGAATTGAATGATCTCAAACAGAAAAATGAGAGGTTAAAATGTGACATTAAAATTGTGGAAGAACAGAACTCAGTAGTTGTACAACAGCTAAGGAATGAGAATATGGAATTAAAAGACAGTGTTAATAGCTTGAATGAAAAGAATGCCAAAGAAACTGAGTGTTTGAAAACTGAAATTAGTGAACTGAAATTGAAGATAAGTGATCTGGAAGAAAATGTGAAAGTGACAGAAGAAGTGAAAGTGAAAGAAGCAGAGGAATTGAAAGTGAAGGTAAAGGAATTGGAGAAACAATTGAAATTAACGAAAGAAACAGCAGCAAATGACAGTGGAGAATTGGATCTACTGAAGGCAGATTATGAACTTTTGACAGACACACTTAAACTGAAAAATGAAAGAATCATGGAGTTAGAACAAGCATTGACAGAGAGCAAGCATGAAATTGAGATGGAGCTTCTACGTGGTGACAACGAGCGGCTTTCTGAAGAAGTCATACAGCTAGAGGAAAAGTTGGAAAGCTCCGAAAAAAATATTGCAGAGAAAGGGAGAAGACTGGAATCATTTTGTGTCGAGAGAGATATGTTGGTGGCAAGTCTTGAGGAAAAAGATGAGAAGCTTTCATTGCAGGAGTCCAGTATTGTAGAACTTCAGCAAGAAAAAGAACAGCAGGCCCTGGAGTTGGACCAATTAAATGAGGATCTGGAGAATGCTTTATTGAAATGTAAACGTACTGAAGATTTAGAACTTCAATTAGAAGCACTTGTGTCTCAGCTGAATTCGATTCAACAGGAATGTCAGTGTTACCGCATTCAGAATGATGAACTTAAAAATAGAATCAACGTCCAACAGGACTTATATCTTAGTCAGCAGTACCAGATTGAAGTTGCTGGGAGTGAAAAAGAAAAGCTACTGCAGGAAAATCTCAGACTGGGGAGTGAAAAAGAAGAGCTGACATCAGAGATACAGAGGCTCAAAGAGGAAGTGGAAAATTATGCTAAAAAAGATCTGGATGAATTAGAATTTGAGAAGACAGAGAACCAGGAGTCCAAGGAGAAATCTTTGTCAAAAGTGCATGACTTAGAAACCACAATCCAGCATTTGAAAGAGGAGAATTCAGCTTTCAGTGTTAAAGTTCAATCTTTAGAGGATCAAATTCTTGGACTTCAGAAAGATCTGCAAAATTCCCAGGATGAGAAATGGGCTGAAATTGACCAGCTCCACGACTCGTATAAACAAGAACTGCTAGACAAAGACGATGTGATAAATACATTGCAGACAGAAATCAAAGGTTATAAAGAGACACTTAAAAGTAAGTCCCCTGATGTTAGAAAACCTGAAGACTGGGAAACTTCAGAAAATGATGGTGATGACTCCATAACAGAATTCATGCTAGAGTCTGTGGTGGAAGATCTGTTGTGTCAAAGTGAGGCTACAATTGAAAAGGAGGCTGGACAAGAGAAAGAGGCTACAACTCAGAAAGAGGTTGGAATGAGTAGTGAAAATGTGTGTGAGGAGATGGAGTTTGTTCAGGAGGAGTTCGTTCCAGTGAGTCATGTGAATTTATCTAGCATGGAAAAATCAGATAAATTAAGACAAAATAAATTTGATGATGTCAAAAGTGAAGATGGTACAAATTCATTAGAACATAGTGCATTCCTTATTTCTCAATATGAAGAAGAAATTTCCAAACTCAGTGAAAGCCTTGCAGCACATAAGCAGTTAGAAGATGTGAAGGAAAAGACACTTCAGTCTGTTTTATCTGAACTAGAATCAATGAAAGAGGAAAAATATCAAGACGAAAGTGCAATTAGATCTGTGTTAAACTTAGACCCAGATATTTCATTGGATTCAGAAAATTTCCTGAAGATACTGAGGACGTTAGAAAACCAAAAATGTCACCTCCTCGAAAAACTAGAAAAAGCAGAGGCAGAAAAGGAAAGACTTCTGAAAAGGATTCAAAATGCTGAAACAGATGACATTTCTTGTGACAGTCTTAATTTGGAGGATTCTATAGATGAAGACAATGTGGAATCCAACATGGAATCTGAGCCTGGAGAAACGGAAGAAATGATGGTGGAGGATGACGTGGAAGATGGAGTTGATGGAGTACAAAACACTGAGATGTTACAACCAATCCAAATTTTCAAGGAGATGACACCTGCAGAGGACACTGTGCAAGAACAGGACATACTGAGGACTGCAGTTAGTGATACTGACCTTACCCCAGATAGAGGACCCAGCCATGCAGAGAGAGTGAGTTCCATAGCTGACAGTACACACTCAGAAGCAGGTGACATTAAGGTGAGCCCGTGCATGCTTTCGTCAGATGATGCTGCTTCTGTTATTGTTACGTTAACTAATTCCAGTTCTATTCCTATTGTTCATGTTTCTGTTGAGAATGTTTCTGTTCAGAGTCAGCCTTGTGTTTCCACTGGGAGTGGTGGTAGTGATGGAGATAGTGGTAATTTTCATGTAAAACCCGATGGTGAGATGAGAAATGTGGATTTAACAGCCAACATTAATGCTCTAGACAAAGCAAGGGCAGATGAATTCAGTGAGGATGTAAAATGTGAATTGGAAAAGCAAATTTCTGTGTTAGCTTCAGAGAAGGAGTCTCTTCAACTGAAATTAAAATCATTAGTGGAGGATTTAGACAAGAAATCTAGTGAATGTAAAGATATTCAGGATAAGTTAAATCAAGTGTCTAATCAATTTGATGTGTTCAAAGCTAGTTTTTCTGATATTACAATTAAGAATGAGAATTTAGAATATGACAATGAAGAACTTGTTGAAAAATTAGAAACATTACAGAAAGAACTTAATGATGTGAAATTTGACTATTCAAATCTACAGGACCATTATGACATGGTTGGTGATGAAAACCATACATTGAAATATGAACATGATCAGCTTTTGCAAAAATATGAAACAGTTGTATCAGAAAATTCTAGTCTGCTACAAAGTTTGTCCGATTCAGAGATCATGGGATCCAAAATCTTAAAAGAAAGTGAAGAAGTCATGAAAAGATTGAGTGAATTAGAGGAGGATAATTTTAAACTGAGACAGCAGCTAGATCAGTCAACCAACGAGAAATCAACAATGGAGATGGAAATTGAAGATCTCATTAAAAAGTTACATAAAGTGAATTCTGACAATGAAAATTTACTGGTGGAGAAAAGTGAGTTGATGGAAAATCACAGGAAACTTGTGAATGAAATGAACATTATAGAGAAAGAGAAATTGGAAAACTTTAGAAAAATTCAAAATTTGCAGCAAAAGTTAGAAGAACAAAAACAAGCCAGCCAAGATGTTAGGAATGCTAAGATTTCAGAGTTGGAGAGTGTGATTGATGAATTAAGGGGTCAGAACAGAATCCTGACATTCAACATCCAGAGTGCAGAGACAAGGATCAAAAAGCAGTCAGAGGAAGATGAGGAAGTAAAGAAAAGACATCAGGAAGATGTGAAAAGGAGAGATGCTGAGATTCAGAAAATACATGAAGAACAGAAAAGTTTATGGTCTTCAGTGCAAGAGAAAGACTCAGAAATTCATAAAATGGGAGGGATATTAAAAGATATTGAAAACAGAAATCATCAACTTAACAAGGGTATGGAAACTTTACAAGAAATAAAGCAGGAATTAGCGGATAAATTAGTCAGACTGGAAGAAAAACTTGCGGCTAAAGAGAATGAGTTGGAATCATTACAGAAACAATCTTTGGAGCTAACAGACACTCTCAAAGTTACACAAATTAAAAATGAGGAACTGAAAACTAAAGTGGAAGCTGAAGAGAAAGAAAAGATATTGGCCCAGAGAGAGTGTGGGGATCTGGTGGAAAGTCTGAGAGTGAAGGAGAAACTGGTGAATGAATTGGAATTGAAATGTGAAGGCCTTCTTCAGCAGATTTCTGAAAATGAGGACATAAGGAAATCCTTCGAGGAACATTTACAAAGTAGAGAGGATGAAATTAAAAATTTGATGTCACTTTCAGAGAACGGTGCTAAAAAATTGGAAGAGAAGTGTAGTTTGAAAAGTTCTGAAATTGAAAGACTTACTTCGTTACTAGAAGAGGCAAAACATGCAAGTCATGAACAAAATGAGAAACATAAGAGTGAAAATTTACACAGAGAACAAGAAATCCAACAAATCAAACAAGAAATAAAGGAAAAATCTGAAAAGATCTTAAACCTTGAAAAAGAAATGCAGCATCAAGCAGAAAAAGCAGTAGAAGAGGAAATCCATATAAAAGATCTAAAGCAGATTATTTCTAATATGGAGACAGAAATGAAAAATGTAGAATCCAGAAATGATGAAATAATTACAACCAAAGATGGGGAAATGTGTGATCTCCAGCAGAAATTAAAGGACTCTGAACTTCAGGTTGAAACACTTCATGTTAAAATGACAACACTGGAGGAAGTAAACTCAGAAATGGTAAGGAAGCTTGAAGAAATGGAACAGAAATGTAAAACATTAAAAACAGAACTGAGGAAAGAAGTTGAGTCAAGGTTGGAAGAGAAGCATTTGCAAATTCAACAGCTGAGGGATGACATTGGAGAGTTAACGGAAAATATTGGTAATAGCAAACCACAAGAAGAGGAAGAAGACAGGACTGTTCTGGAATCTTTGGGAAAACTGGAAACATCGTTGTCTAGGATTAAATCAGACATGACATTAACTGCAGGGCTCTCTGAATCAGAATCCCAAGTGAAAGTTGATGTGTCAGGATTGCAGTTGACTGGTTCAGAAGAAGCATCACAACCAGAGGTGAAGACAACAGCAGATCCAGGCAATCAGGCAGTGTCCATGGAATGTAGCAATGATGAAGCAAAGGTGTGTACAAGAGTTGAGAATCTGGAACTAAAGAAAACTGTTGACAGATTAATGGCCACAGTTCAGGAGTTGGAAAAAGACAAAAGCTATCTCAAGATTTGTCTGAAGGAGGCTAGGCAAGGTTTACGTAAGGGAGAAGACGAGGACTTGGAGATTTTAATGGAAGAGAATAGTCATCTTATGGAGGAAAACAAAGCCTTGACAAAAGAATTAGAAAAACTTACAAGTGAAGCTGCAACAAGGAATACTTGCAATACTGAAGATATGACTGGGGAATCTGATGTTGCTATGAGTAACACAAAAATATATAAAGAAATGGAGAGAAAAGTAGAGCTTCTATCTTCTGAAAATGTCAGACTGAAAAAAAATTTCTCAGACTTACAGGATGAAATAGAGAGAGGACAGAGTCAGATAATGCAGATAACTTCATTGTTTCAGCAGTCAGTGACTTCTAATGAGGTATTGAAAAATGAAATTTTATCCTTGAAAGATGAACTTGAGTCTATTGCTGAGACAAGGGAAAGTGTGGACGAGGCTTTATCCAGTGTGGAACAGAAAATAAAGCAAGAAGAGGAAGATGTTAGTAGAATGATAGAGGAGAGAACAGAAATTAAGCTGCAGGAGGAAAGCTGTGAAGTCAAGCAGATCAGTGAGGTTTTAGTGTCATTAACCTTAGCTAACTCAATGAACATTGTTTTGAAGGAAGAAAATGAAACATTAGGGAATCAGCTGCTTGAGAAAGAAACAAGTTTGAAAGAGTTATCACACAAATGCCAGGAAAATGAAGACAAAGCAAATAAAGTTCAAGAAAAAGCTAGGATGTTAGAAGAAGAGATAGAAAATGTAAAAAGGATTTCTTATACATACGAGAAGGATTTGAATGAAAAGGAACAGATGATACATGTGCTTGAGGAAAAATTGAAGGTTGTTTCAACAGAGAATACAGAAATGAGAGAGGAGAGAGAGACAATTATTGAAGAGGTGAAAGTTCACAGAGGCATTACAACAGAAATGAGGGATTCTGTAGAAAAAAGTCATCAGGATGTGATCAACATTCGTAAAGAGCAGTCACAGTTCAAATCAAAAATGGATGAGATCATTGGCGAGAAAGAGAAACTGGCCAGAGACCTGCTCAAAAAAGTTGTTGAAATCAAGGAATTGAGGGCAAAAATAGGTGTCCTTTCTGACGAAAATGATCAGTTGAAACAAACCCAAGAGAGGTTTGAGAAAGTGAAAGCAGAAAGAGATGAGTTGATCTCAATTCAGGAAAAACTGTTGGAAGATCTAACTGAGATGCAGGGCCGATATGAATCAGTCCATGCCTTGATGGAAGAGACAAAACAAGAATGTAACAATGAAATGGAGAAACTACGTGAGCAGCTTGGATCAGTCAATCGAGATGTTGGGAGTTTAAAATTGTCCATTGATATTCTTCAAACAGAACTTCAGTCTGCACAAGAACAGAGGGATCAACTTATGACAAGTCTTGAAGAGAAGGATCATCTGTTGATAGTCACAGAAAAAGAGAGGCAGAAAGAACTGAATGATAAGTTCAACAAAGAGCTGCAGAACCAAAGGAGGGCTGGTGGTGGATCTCATGGTGGTGTACTACAGGGAGTGGAGAGTGAAGTGGATGGAGAATCGATCCAGAGTGGTGGATCTCATGATGTTGAAAATCTAGTGGTGGAGAATGAAGTGATTGAAGAATCAGTAATCCAACAGACTGTGAGTTGTGTTGATAGTGAATTCATGAACCAGAGATCAGGTAGTGAACATATCAACTTAGATCAAGAGACCTTACAGCAAAACCAAAGCCAGAATTTTGATACTGGAGACAGGGTTGATCACTTTGCTGAATCTGGGAGAAGTACAGAAGTGGGAGCAGATAATATACCTGACAGTGAGGAATTGAGGGAAACAGAACAGCAAAGAATTTCACATGAAGAAGAATCAAACATTGTTGGAGGTTTAGTGATGGAAGAATCAAATAGAGCTGAAGGAAGTGATGTCCTTATCCCAGAAGAAACAATTTCTGAGGGAGACATCAAAGAATGTGATATAGAGCCCAAAGATTTTAACCTGGAAGAAGAAAGGGAAAACATCCGTAAAGAACTGAATGACGAGTATGAAAGAAAAATTGAAGGAATGAAGTATGAGATGGAAGAAAAACTGGAAATGTCATTGAAGGACCATGAGTATGAACTTTTAGGAAAATTTGACATGGAGAAAAAGGACCTGGTTAAGCAGATGGAACAGGCAGTTGCTCAGAAAATTGAATCTGTCAAAGCTGAGAAACACAAGGAATTTGTGGAGGCAATGCAGAAAGTTAGAAAGGATCAGGGGAAGAAACTCAAGGCAGAGGTGGAGAAGAGGAAGGCAGGGATTCGACAAAAGTTCCAGAAACAGTTCCAGGTATGTACTTGTGTGACTAAGGGTAGGGCATACAGAATATTTGTTTATAACTTTAA